GGTTTCCTAGGAGCTTCAGCTCCAGCCCCAGCTTGACTTTGCACTGGGTGACCGATATCTGTTCCAAGAGCTGCATGGGCCACAAACAGGGGGCTGGCTGGAGAGCTGCGAGTCCCCTGCAGATAAGTCCTTCCTATGAGCCTGCTTGTCACACTCATTTTCTCATTTCACACTGAATGCATCTTCCAAGAGAACAACTACAAGATATGTGTTGCTAGGAAAAAAGTCATTTGACCTCCAAAGAGTCCCCTATTTCTACAGAGCTGCTAGTATAGACTGCTTTTGTTTCCAATTTTCTTTACTCCACAGATCATTTAGCCCCACAGGGAAAAAAAAAATATTGGTGGCCCAAAAAGAAGAGACCTAACTCTCTACAGTGGGGCACTCGACTGTTCCAGTAAAACTCCTATGGGTAACTTTCTCCTCTACTTCATGGCAGCAATGTTGCATTTAGTCCAACTAGTCTAATTAGCAATGCCGCCTACTCTGGCAGATCAATTCACTATGGCAAATCAAGACCCTTTCAGTACCCTTTCTTCTGCTTTGACTGCTGGAAAGTCAAATACACATGCCCCAGCTCCCCTTCATTAGGATTTCCCACATGGCCTGGTTTCTATCAAGAAGGTGTACATACATTCAGAGATATAGAGACGATAAAAGTGAGAAATGCACGGTACAATCCAAATGTGGAGATATTAGATATTTTGTCAAGAAAGGGAGTGGAAGTGCCTGGTTAGGAGGGACAGCTATGGTGGAAATTACAGTGCTCCGTTCTTTGCATTATACTGTTGAATGGTGGGTAATTTCAGCAGAAGGGTTTCTGCTAAAGCAGTCACATGTGGTGTGATTCAATATTTCCTCTGGACCTGTTGCCTTTGGTTGCATTGTTCCCAGCCTTGAAGTATCCACATGAAATCCTCTAGTCTTCCTGGAGAGTCTTTGAACTGTATGATACCCTCAAATAGACCCCTTTCTACTTAACTGCCAGCGTTGATCTTGCTGCCTCCCCCAAAGAAACCTTTGATTAATTAAAACTCTTCATCTCTATTCCTAAGAAGATGAATGGTAAAGTTTCTAACACGATGATTCACCAATTTGTCCATGCTAGACTGTTGTAATAATTAATCAAATTCTGGTTTTAATCTATCAGTCAAACATTGATTCTTCCTGAGACCAACATTGCCTTGATCCAGAGGAAAGCTTCATTCCAGATAGAAACCTTCCTGTTATTATTTCTATACAGGAATAGCAATATGCTATTCTTCTGGATATGTAATGTAGAAGCAAATGGTTAAAAGCTCTCCCTGGATTCAAAGGGGGTTCCTATGCAAGAAGTTCTTCAGGTGAGGGGCTCAAGTGTGATGTTCAGCATCACTGAAATGGTGGACTGAGGCCGAAGGATACAACAGATACAATACACAATACAGATAGTCCTGTGTTTAACAACCTACCTGTTTAAAGACTATTTGGACTTATGACATAGGAACGTGAGTGGCAGTGCCACCTTATGGTGGCTTCTTCTACACTACTGTGGTGTTATTTTTGCTGATTGTTCTATACAGAACAGTACTGTAATTTTGTTCTATTATACATCACAGTACTGTACTGCATGTAAGAGTTATGTAAATAAAAGCAAAGTTATCAAGTTGGAGTTTCCTTTGACCATTTCTTTGTCTAAATATTGTAATGTATACACTATACTCAGTTCCTCATTCAGCAATTTACTTAACGCCTTAATTGCAGGAATGGAACTCAGTATTCAAAAGAGGAATGCCTGTATTGCCAAAGCACCAGAAAGGACTCTTTAATAGTTTACAAGGTGATGTTGTTATACTGGACTGACTGAATTTTAAGGAAATTTTTAAATCTAAGTGTGAAATTTAGATATGTTCTAGTATTTAAATAGAAACTCTACACATTGAGCTTCCCCATATTTCTTAACCAAGTCTTTTCATTTTTTAGCTTTATTAGTAGTACTGAAGTCACAAAGAAACTGTTCAGTCTTCCCTCAGTTTAATGTGGAATACTCACATCGTACTAATGCCTTTATATTCCATTTTTAAAGTATATGGTTCACACTGGAAATCAAGCAATTTTCATTTTAATACAGTTCCATTTCCCAAAAAAAGAGGTATAAAGTAAAACAGGTAAATCTTAGGAGTTTTCTAAAACAAAAACAAACAAGAGCAACTAAAACCCCTGAGCATAATCATGCGTTCAAAAGGAAGGTTAATGATTTTAGGTTAGTGTGGGACTTTTAGTTATAAATCCACAACTAGATTGTATGAAAGAATTAATAGCCAGGCGTGGTGGCTCACACCTGTAATCCCAGCATTCAGGAGGCTGAGGCAGGAGAATCACTGGGAGTTGGAGACCAGCCTGAGCTACATAGTGAGCTCCAGGTCAGTCTCAACTACATAGTGAGACCCTGTCTCAAAAAAAACAAAAACAAAACAACAAAAAAAACAAAAAAGAATTAAATTTATATAATACTAATAATGGGTGACTTTTCTCCAAGATCATAATATCCTAAGATGTTTACTTTAGAAAGTCTGACAGTTTTAAAGTGCCCTTCTAGTATAGTAGATTCCATGTATGAAATACAACAAAAAAGAAGGAAAATCCCACCAAACAGAACAAAATCTGAAACAGACTCTACCACTGGTCAGCAAGATGGACCTAGGTGATTCACTGGCTTTCTTTGTCCTCATTTGTATAAGAGTACTAGATCTGATAATAGACAAACTCAAGAAGCTGCGCCATACAATGATTCTAGGCAAGAAAGCCTGACATTTCGTCATTTAACGTGACAAAAGTTTTATGAATTCATAGTTCCAGAGGTGGTATGGTGATACTGAGGAATCATATTGACATCAGTTTGACTACAGATTCAAATCATGGATCTGGGATGTACAAGAAGTGAAGCCTCTGGTAAGTTGCTAAGCCTCTTTGAGTCTATGCTTCCTCATCCTAGGTAGGATAAATATAATCACTGCACAAAGTTACATAGAGATGTATTTATTTGCAATTTATTGCATAGGGACATAAGTTAAATGATGAGGAGCTCATATGACAGGGCCCACGCGAAGTCAGTGCTTTCCTACTTCTACCTTCTTCCTGTACTGAATGAGCAGAAACAAGTGAAGGAAGTGATGACTTACTCTTCCTTCAATAAAGAAAGAAAGTCATTTGTAATTGTACCTCTTTCAGAAAAGTTTGATAAATGGCTGTCATAGTTTCTACCAGGCCTTGGTAGATGTCATGAACAAAGCCATTTCCATTTAGCATTTATTTATTCCACAAACATTTTTTCAGCACTTCCTAGGCACAAAGAGCACAGCAAAGAATAGAACAGACCAGGCCCTGATGTTTTAAAACTTAAAACCTGCTGCTGTCTCCCAGAATTATTTTAGAAAAAATACAGAAAATGTCTTATTCGATTCATTATACCAGTACTGGACTCTAGAAAGCCCACTTTCTCCTGATTCAGGAAAAAAAAAACCCACTGAAGTCACCTGTTAGCAATATGTGCTGTCAGTAGGACATCAGCAGTGTACAAAGGAGAATATGAGTTTAAAGGTAGCTAAATCTTGGCTCTCATTTATTACAGATATAACCATAAGCAAATAAATTAACCACTCGTCCTCAATTTCTTTATGATAAGACTAACCTGTAAGTATGTATGGGTCCTTATGAGATAATATCTGTTATAAACATTAAAGAAATGTACAGGAGTAGAAACAGAATCATGCTAATGACAATACAGTTTCTATGTTAGCATTATTTTCCCTTCCACTGATTGGAAGGAAATGTACATCTCAAGGTTACAGACACACAAAAAGAAAAAAAGCTATATCCATCCAGAGTTACTTGTGCAGAAATATGTATAATTCACATAAGTCACCTGTTGCATTTTATTTAAAATACAAAACAAAAATCAAGCAATGAGTGTGCTTCCATTAAGAAAATCTGATAAATCCTTCTGGTTCCATTCATACAATAAAATTAATCTTTTTGCAGACTGTTTAGTTCCAAAATGACATTTATGAAGCCCTCCATTCTTGAGAGGGAAAAATTGGTTAGCTTTAACAAAAGTATATTATACACAAAAGGAAGATTACATTTTAATTACCTGTAGGATGTATACCTGATAGTTTGAAACATTGTATTCATTCAAGCTAATCCTTTTTTCAATTAATTATACACCTTATTTCCTTAATATGTATGAACTTTGGAGAATTTCTACTCACTTGAAATATTGTTACCATCATTGTCAAGCTGAAAGTGCGAAGTGGATTCTAAACTTAATTAAATTCTACTAGATGGGAAAACGTAAAACGATGATATATTTACCATTCCAATTAAAAGAGTTTATCCAATGTATTTACCACATATTTTTTGTGGGCCTTTATTTGTCATTTCCTGCTTATTCCAGACTTGTTAACATTTCCCATAGTCACTGAACTTTACCACCCCCCCACCCAATGACTTTACTACTTTTTCTCCCTTTTATTAATCTACAATCTTTCTTTCCTACTGTCCTAAGTACACTGTGTGTGTATGTGTTTCTTGCCAATGAATTTCCTACTAGAACATTAGTAGTTCTCAATTTTTGCATGCATACTGAAATTTTCTAAGGAGCATTTAAGTATTCAAAACAACTGATGATGATTTTGCTGGTATGGTTATACCTGGGTACTAGACATTTTGTATATTTCCACAAAAAAAATTGAATTTATAGCTTAAGTTGAGAACCAGTACACTAGAACATGGAGACTTTCTTGATTTGTTTTCTGTTCTATATGTATGATCAATATTTTGATTCAATACCAGATTTGAAAATAAATTACCTTAAAGGCTATCTCTGAGTTTTTCCATTTATGAAAGTGTTTCGCTGAATGGCTATTGCTACTGATTTTAATACAATACATGTGGTTGCTTCTGGGTAAGTGTCACTTAGAAAGTTTTTTTTTAATTGTGTAATAATAGCAGGAACCAACCTTGAGGCTTGGGCTTGGTCAGTTTGCCACAGGGCTTGGAGATGGTCACTGTCTTCTGGCAGTCAGCATTGTGGAGGGCTCGCTTCAGACTCCCAGTTCTAGTCTTCAAGGCAGTATTCAGGTCACATTCTCCCCAGGCCTGGAACTGGTATTTGCACTCCGCTAAAGTCAAGAGAAGATCAAAAAGGAATCTCTGAGGTAGCCAATTGTGGTGCCACTAGAACAACAGCACACTTTTGTTCTTAACCTTTTGTATTTAGATAACTGCAGATTTCCATGAATACACACACACACACACACACACACACACACACACACACAGAGGTATTCCATGCACTCTTCATCCCTTACTCCCAGCCAGCTGTGGTGTCTTACATAGCTATTGCCCAATAACACCACTGTGAAATCGACACGGACACATTCCAAGAACTTGCTGAGATTCCATCAGTTTCACATGCACTCATTAGTGCATTAGAATATACATTTGCTTCTGCACAGTTTAGTATGTGTAGAAGCACACAATCATCATGAATATACAGAACTATTACAATACAAGGGGCACAGGAGTCATCTTTTAAACTATAGTCTTCCCACCCTCTTCATCCATGACAACCAAAACTCTTCTCGATCTCTATAGTTCCATCATCTTAGTTATGCAGTATGTGAACTTTTGGGATTAGCATCTTTTAACTTAGCACAATTTCCTGTAGATCCACCCAAATCAAAAGTATCAATAGTCATTCTTTTGTACTTGTGAGGACTATTACACACATGGATATACTACAATTTTTTAACTACATCTGGGTTATTTCTAGCTTTTGAATATAACAAATAAAACTGCTAGCTATCGTCATGTATGGGTTTTTATGGAAACATGAGTTTTCATTTCTCTGGCACAAATGCCCAAGTAATTGCTGGATTGCATGGTAAACTCATGTTTAGTTCAGCAAAACACTGCCATCCATTTTTCCAGTGTGGCTAAACCATTGTACATCTCTGATAGTAATAAGGGTTCTAATTCTGTTTGTTCTCCCCAGCATTTTATTACATATTTGTCTAGCCACTATGCTAGGTTCATAGCAATCTTATTGTAGTTTTAATTTCCACTTTCCTAATGGGGAAAAGAAATTGAACATCCTTTCACACATTTGCTTTCTAGAGATCAGTGATAGTGAACCTTTTAGAGCTTTCAATGATAACAAACAGCCTGCTGCAGCATGCGTGTTAGAGGTTCACATCTTTTAAGAGACATCATAGAAACATTCTTTAGGTAGGTCTTGAAGATGCCCATATACAATTTGGGAGCAAATGTATCTGAATAACATTTACTATCACTCAAAAACATGTCGCAAAGGATGGAGCATGAAAAAGATTTGTGTGAGCATATCCATAGCTCTGTCTCACTTACCAGCAGGCCATAATGCACTTCCTTATAGCACAGGTAGAATAATGTCCCACCATGGCCAAGAAAGGCAAAAAGACTGGAATAGGAGAAAAGGTTAACAAGGAGTTGAATATTGATTTAAAGTTAGTTGTTCTGAGAGAATTTGTCTCTACTAGGTAGATCAGGCCATAATGAGACTGACAGTAGTCAGAGAGAGAGAGGGAGAGACAGACAGAATCTCAAAAATGGCTGTAATCAGGGCTGGGGACTTAGCTCAGTGGTGCTGCATCTGCCTACCAACTGCAAGGTCCTGAGTTCAATTCCTGGTACAAAAAAAAAAAAAAAAAAATGGCTGTAACCAGCCCTGTTGGGGCCCGTAAGTAAATCCACAAATGTATGTGGGTGGTGGGGAGGAAGCAAAAGAGAGGGGGCTTGAAAGTGACATAGATGATGGCAAGAGTGAGAAAAGTGGAAAGGAAACTATGAAGGATTTGGAAATAGAAGGAAAGAAAAGGGAGCGAACATAGACAAATGAACATTATAGGGAGGAATTATGTGCATAATTTATGTCCCTACAAGGCAGTGACACTTAATCCAGGACAGTTTTGACATTCAAGGGACGTTTGGTCATAAATATCGGAAACGTTTTTAGTTTGTACAACTAGTGTGGGTGGGAGTGTTATTGGAAACTAGTTTGTAGAAGCCAGAGATAGTGCTAAACATCCTGCAGCACAGAAGAAAAAACCTTATGTAGCCAAAATTGTTACCAGTGCTGAAGCTGGGAAACCCGGGTGAGGAAAGTATCTAGTCACCTTTCCTCTGACAAAATGAACTTATTTAAAGTAAGTAATACTCATTAGGTATTTACACATGTGTGACTTATTTATTTCACTTACGAGTATATCCTCAATATGTATCCACAACTAACCCTAATGAGATAATTGACAATGTGAAATAAGAAGAAAAGGGCTAAAGGTGTAGAGAAAGTGGGAAGGGTGGGGAAAGGTAATAGGGGAAAAGAAAAAATATGAGAAAATGAAAAAATGGAAATAAAGTGTTTGGAAATGGGGAGGGGAGGAGGGGGTGAAGGGAGGCCAGGGACAAGGGGAAAAAATCAGAACCAAGACCTGTCATGCAAAGGTAACAAAATCCCAATGATGAATGTAACTGCACTGTAAAACTAAAATGTACCAATAAATTCAATAAAAAATTTTTAAAAATAAAGTAAGTAATACTGATTCCAAAAGCACATTTGGTGGAAATGTTGCAGAATTGACTCAGAGAGGAAGCCTGACACAACAGACAGGGTGAGACTTACCTCCGAACTGCTTTTTCCAGTTGCAAGGAATCTTGCATCTCTGGGTCTTCATGGTTTGTTTACACTCAGCTCCGGTGCGGGTGCCCTCCCGAGTGCCCAGCCCACAGTCGCCACTGGTGGGCACACACACGCTCCACTGCCATTCCCCACACTCCGACTTCTTCACTTTTTTTTCTAGAAATAAGGAAGTCAAAACAATCCACATTTTAGACAACTCGGACTTCTAGGGATAACCGAGTCCATTCTCGAGCACCGTGATCACAACGCTGTGTGGTTCTTACCTTCTCCTTACCCTCCAATAAATGGTAGGGGAAAGACAGAGATCAGGCAAATGACTGAATAACTCACTAAGAGAACAGAGGAGGAGAAGTAAGGAAAGAACTGGAACCAATATTATTAACTTGTATATGGGCCAAAACTGTTTTAAGAGACTTATTGACATCTCCTTTTAAGAGCAACTATTTCTATGAAAAAAAATGTTCAAAAATAATTCCACCTAAAAATGAGAAAACATTCTATTAGAAGTAATAATAATCAGATTAGCTCCCTCCATGTAACTATAAAAGCCTTGTCTTGAAAGATAGAACATAATAGAAATATGATTTGTCAAAGACTTAGAATCCCAACTTCACAGACCACATACAGCTGTAAGAAAGGAATAGATAGGATGCCCTGTACCCATCTCTTCCTTTGTAAATCTAAGATTTTTTTAAAAAATCTTTAACTGACTTACTTTGAGGAAGAGAGGTAACATAAGCAAATGGCTAACAATTACTATTTCTAAGTGTTTTCCTCACCATTTTTAGGCTGAACTTTTTTTTTACTATCTCTTCTTTAATAGAAGAACCTGTTGGTCAATGGTTTCTATATAGTAAACTCTAACATGATCACTCTCTAGGACTTGCAGTGGTGAAAACTTAAGAGGGCTGTTTCTTGGGTCCTCAAAATAATGAGAAGGAAGGAAAGGAGAAGGGGACAGAAGAAAATAAGGAAGGAAGGAAACAAGGGAGGGAGGGAGGAAAGAAAGGAGAGAGGAAGGCTTGAGAGATGGATGGAAGGAAGGATTAAAAAGATGTAGCTAGTTCTTTTCTGAGAAATGTCTGTTCATTTCAGATGCCCATTTTTGAATCGGGTCCTTATATTTGGGGGGGCTGATTGTTTTGAGTTCTTTATATATTCTAGACTACAGTCCTTTGTCTGAGGAGCAGCTGGTAAAAATTTTTTCGCATATGGTAGGTTGTCTCTTAGTTCTGTTGGTGGTTTCTTTTGCAGTGCCGAAGCTTTTTAATAAGATGAGTTCCCAGTTGTTGATTCTTTCGGCTAGTTCCTGTGCTATGAGGATTTGTTCATAGGTAAAAGCAGCAAGTAAATATATGAAAAAATGTTCCACATCACTTGTCATTCAAGAGATGCAGATGAAAACAACACTGAGATTCCACCTCACCCCACAAAGAATGGCTGCTATCAAGAAATCACACAATATCAAATGTTGGAAGGGTTGTGGTGAGAAAGGAACCCTTCTCCATTGTTGGTGGGAGTGCAGACTGGTGCAACCACCGTGGAAATCAATATGGAGTAACCTCAAACAGCTGGCACTAGAGGTTCCATTTGACCCAGCCATCCCTCCATTGGGTATCTTTCCGAAAGAATTAAAAGAATCATACCACAGTGATATATGCACACCAATGTTTATAGCAGCACAGTTTGTAATAGCTAAAACTTGGAAACAGCCCATTTTCCCATCAACTGGAGACTGGATAAAGAAGATGTGGGTTTTCTATAAAGTGGAATACTGCTCAGCCATAAAGAGTGAGAAATTAGATTCATTTATAAGAAAATGGATACATATTGAGGATATACTCCTAAGTGAAATAAATAAGTCACACATGTGTAAATACCAAATAGTTTCTCTGATGTGAATAAACTGTAATAGTACATAAGATTCTAATGAGATAATTGACAACGTGAAATAGGAAGAAAAGGGCTAAAGATGTAGGAAAAGTGGGAAGGGTAGGGGAAAGGTAGCAAGGGAAAAAATATGAGAAAATGAAATAATGGAAATAAAGTGTTTGTAAATGGGGAGGGGGGACAGGGTGAAGAGAGAGCAGGGGCAAGGGGGAAAAATGAGAACCAAGACCCGTCATGCAAAGGTACAAGATCTCAATAATAAATGCAATTGTACTGTATACCTAAAATGTACCAATAAACTCAATTTGAAAAAAAAAACAAAACATGTAGCTAGGCTAGATAGACAGTAATCACCAAAGCAACCCTTTACAGCTCTACTGCTTACCTGCTTTTTCTTTCTTCCCTGCCTCGGCAGTGTCCACAGTGGCCAAAAGGAAAATGAATGCCAAGAAGGCAGCTACAAATTTTTGACGCTGCTGCTGGTACTGCTGGGACTGCATTCTAGGAATAAACAGAAAAGGAGAAGAAGGTAATGTTAGGGCAGAAGACTCATTGAATTCCTCGATGAAGGGCTCCACTTTGCACTTCCAGAATGCTGAGTTTCTGGAAGAGGTACATCAATTACCCTAAACAAAATGTTATTTTTTTGACAGCCCCTAGCATGAGTGCTCTTCTGCAATCAATCACATATTAACTAACAAAATGCAACAGTTCTCTCCACATAAGACTTCACAGCCATTGGGTAAGTTTGACTCTGGGATTGCTGAAGTAGAAGAATTTTAAAGGCATGTTTCTGAGCAGGCTACTACAAAAAGCCTTGATGGTAGTGTCACCTGATAACAACTATAGCATCATCAGAATGCATAATATTTCCTAGAAACCATCAGGGGTTTGCAGTCCACAGGCTTCATTTGAATGGAAATGATGCAGGGGTGATCTACAGAAGAAAATGTTTATTGGTTATTTTTAGATGTATTAGTAATGACTAACTCATTTATCACTTTTGTGACCATTTCTATCACCTTATAATTATTCCATTGTTCACTAGTCAACCACACAGTGAAGTCTAGAAAGTAGCAGAGTCTACACAGCTGTGATGCATCCCAACTGTAATTGTAGACTAGCACAAGCTCAAAATCCTCTAAACTCCAAGACATCGTGAAGAGTCATTATATTCACTCAGAATTTGAAAATCTTTACATTTAATAGAATCCAACTCTCCAGATAACATTAGAAAGCCAACGCTGTAGGTGTGTGCGATACTTTACTGTCAATATGGTTACCCTGCAAAATGACCTTGAGGAAATTTTGTCAAGCTCCAGAACACACAATCCCCAGTATCCTTCCAAGTCACTGACTGCACCTCAGAAACCTCCAGAGCCCACTGAAGAGGACATGGTTACTTGCCAGAAGTGCAGAGAATACTACCTCCCATCAATGATACACACAGACACACACACACACACACACACACACACACACACACACCTGAGTTGTTAATAGGGGGGCTTTGGGGCAAGTTCTGATCTCAGCATTTCTAATTTTATATTACTAAACTTTTACTTTCAAAACTGTTTTTAGAAAAAGGTTTATCTTACTTGAAGTTACATTCATTTCAAGAAAAAAAACAGCCTAGAACTTCCTAGTCATAAAAATATTTGAGTTAAAGAGGGATCCTCTAAACAATCTATCAACACTAAACTATGATCTGAATACAAAGAAGGAAAAGTCAGAATGGGGATGGAAGTTGAAGAGAGTACAATGGAATTGTGCTCTTTCTCCTTCTGGTATTAACTGAGAACTATTAACAAGTAGCTAAGTAGAGACTTTCAGCTCTTAAACATTCTAAGCAAAGATGCACACAGGCCTAGGCTTGCAGTGAGCCACTTGCGTGAAACATGCTGAGCTTTGGGTTGGACAAAATCTTTCAAGTCCTTTTCTCCTTCTCGTTACCACCACCTACACCATCACCCTGCTCTCCATCATTCTGCTGAAGACTTAGATTTTCTGAGTAGGGAAAATGACTAAAGCTTATTTAAAAGAGGAGAGTAAGGGAATTCAGAAAATGGATGATTAAAATAATCCAAAAATTCAAGTGAGCCCAAACAATACCCACTTAGCCTGCTCTTGACTCATTGTTATAGTAAATATTTGAATAATTAGTATAAACCTGGATAGCTGGATGCCCATTCCTCTTGCTTGTGGTATTTGTTTATTTGTCCTTAGATTCAGGTGAAAGCAAAAGCTCCCCATACAATTTAACCCCACTTGTTTTCCAACAAAGTAAATGCCAGATAAGTATAAAGGCAAAAATATTTTATTAAAAAAGTAATTAAGATAGTGATATATTTTCTCACACTGGGGTCAAACAGTGAAGAGTGAATCATGAGAAATAGATGATAGATAGATAAATAGATAGATAGACAGACAGATAGATACTCACATGCACACATATATACATACATAGTGAGAGACATACACCCAAGCATTTAGCCTTAGTGATACTCATTAAATGTTAACACCAACACAAGGCCTTAAACAGAAGGAAGAATATAATCATGTTAAAACAGTGTCTCAGCTCTTTGCCAACATCCAGTGTGCAATCACTGGAGAAAATGAGCCAAAAGCAACAGTCGGTGTCCCCATGAACAAGAGTGTTCAGCAAATGATCAGGGATTCCTCTGTATCATGTGCTCCCATCACTAGACTATTCCATATATTTTGTGATCTTCTTGCCTAAACGCCTGTGAAATAGTATTTTTTGGACATTTGTATAATGAAATAAAATTCAAGATATAGAAAATTGATCACTCAAAACTACTGAAGAGCTTAGTGAATCATTATAAAACAAAACACGTATCCTGTCACAACAGAAGCCTTTATGTTTTCCTAATTCCAGTCACAGCCCAGTCCCTTTAAAAGTAACTCACAAATGTGAAAATACCGAATAGTTTATCTGGTATGAATAATATACAATAATACAGAAGATCCTAATAAGATTACTGACATTGTGAAATGGGAAAAAAGGGGGCTAAAGGTGTAGGGAAGGTAGAATGGGTAGGGGAAGGGTAATAAGGGAAAAGAAAAAAATGTGAGATAATGAAAAGATGGAAATAAAGTGTTTGTAGATGGGGAGGGGAGGAAGGGGTGAAGGGAGGCCAGGCACAAGGGGAAAACATGAGAACCAAGACCTGTCATGTAGAGGTACAAGATTCCAACAATGAATGTAACTGTACTGTATCCCTAAAACGTACCAATAAACTCAATTAAAGCTGAAAAAAATAAATAAAAGTAACTTACATGGAAATTATTCCTTTGCATTAACTGAAGACTTTATTCATGTGGATGTCCCTAGACTTGCCTAACTTAAAAAGTTCACTTGTCTTTTAATCTGCTTTTAACTTTTACGGTTGTCCTCTACTGCTTTTTTTAAAAAACTATTTATAAAACTCAACATTCCATCAAAACTATACCACATTCTGGATTTTGATGACTGTAAATTCATCAAGAAGACTTCAATATTCGTTTCAGCTGCACGCAGAGGCTTACTGGACTCAGGTATGTCTTTGACAAGAATATAAATGGCATCGTATTCTTTCACCAGGAGCAGCATGATATTTGGTTCTCACTCTTTTGTGATGTTAACAACCACTGGTGTGAGATGAGCACACTGATTCAGGTTGCAAAATGGTGATATTTGAATTGTATCCTTTTATTTTCATTTATTAATTCAGCTAATACCATAAAGAGATGTTTCCCCTCACTGAATATTCTGTCATACAGCTTAGAGTCCATAAAGAAATACTGGATAAATGCTTGATTCTTTCCTTTTATTTTTCTCACTTTCAGCATTATTATGAGTTTGTTCTCCATTATTATTGAAATATGACCATTTATTTTTAATGCTATAAATGCACGGATTTGTTCATATTTAATGGTTTCTAAGACATTCTATTTCTTTTTGTTTGTTTGCTTGGGTGTTTTTTTTGGGAGGTGGTGTTTTTTTTTCTTTATACCAGAGATTGAACTCAAGCCCTTGCACTTGTGCAGCGGAACCACTGAGCCAAATCTCCAGCCCCCTATTTCTTAATCTTTATGAATTCTTTTGAAGCCAGTGTAAGATTCATAAGTTGGCTCTCACATAATTTCTCATAATTATGGTCTTTGTAATCTTTGATGAGATCATTGGTATCCAACAAATTAAGATGCCCTGGAACTATCACACCTCAGATATGAAATCAGCTACTTATATTTTAAAAATCCGTATTTGTTGTTTTGATAATAAAAGACATTTCAAAACCAAGTCTAGGCAGTCAAGATGTTCAACTTCACTGAATTGATCTCTTTTTCCAGGCCATTTTCTGTGAGCAGATCTAAGAAAGGACATAGGGAATGACAAAATTAACTAGCATAAAACTAATAATTTCCTTTTTCCCATATTACACAAGCAATAGTTTCATAACAATTTATAAATCTTGGAAACAATTAAAATTATTTTGCACTTACCATTTTCTTTTAGCCCTCCTTTCAGAGTTGCTTGTTTCTATGTCATCTGACATGTTAGTTATCACCTACCATATCATCTCCCTTTGAATTCTCATTAACCTTAGTTATGAAAGCAAATTATATTATTTATGCACAACATTATTTCTTATATGAATAGTTCTCTAAGAAATTTGTTGGCCATAACACTCATTCAGTAGTAAAGTCCTTGTAAAACTAATATATATATATATATATATATTTATACTGCTGAATGTTGATAACACATCAGCCCTTTTGTCCATCCAGTTTCTCTTTATGTAACATCCTATGTTCAGGCATCCCTTCCTCAAAGTACCTAAAATACACTGTTCCTTTTTCTCTCATTATAAAATTATTCTATTGGAAAGTCTAGTAATAATCTAATTTCCTTTCCAGATAGAGTGGTGTTTCCTGAGATGCCTTCCTTGAACTAATTTCTTTAAAGTGCAGTAAATTTGCAAATATACAGCTTCGTTTTGTTCATTTGGAGTCAATATTCCCAGAGAATGATGGGTCCATTTTTCTAATTTTTAGTATTATTTTATCTCAAATCCTTTTTATATATTTTAATTTCAGTGAAAACTGATCATTTTATCTTCTATTAATCTTAAAGCATCATTTGTGTTTGTTCAATCCTATGTTTCTTCCAGTTTGTTTCATTTTAAAAATATTTCTCTTTTATTTCTAATTCTTACTTCAGTTTTTTCATCTACTTTCTGAAATTTTCTGATGTAATTTCCTATGATGTTCCTTAGTATTTTATTTCATTTTTTAAATGTTTTCTAGCTTATTTTGCAATAGTACATCACTCGGTTATGTGTGTGTGTGTGTGTGTGTGTGTGTGTGTGTTACATAAACACATTAAAAAATCCTTTATCGATATAGGGATATGAGTTCACTACTTTTTTTTCTTTACTCTGTCTTTTTAATAGTCACTTTGTAAGAAAATGGATGCACCTGAGGCCATAATCCTAACT